TACATGACAAACCCACAGCCAACATCATACTAAACGGGGAAAAATTGCAAGCATTCCCGCTTAGAACTAGAACCAGAGAAGGTTGCCCACTGTCACCACTTCTATCCAAGATAGTGCTGGAAGTCCTAGCCAGAGCAATCAGGCAAAAAAAGGAAATCAAGGGATCCAAATGGGGAAAGAAGAGGTCAAACTAACACTCTTTGCTGATGATATGGTCAAACTAACACTCATTGCTGATGGTGTGATTTTATATCTAGAAAACCCCAAAGATTCTGCCAACAGACTCCTGGAATTGATAAATTCAGCAAAGTCTCAGGGTACAAAATCAATGTATATAAATTGGTAGCATTCCTATACTCCAACAATAGTCAAGCTGAGAATCAAATCAAAGACTCAATGCCTTTCACAATAGCAACAAAGAAAATAAAATACCTAGGAATATATTTAACCAAGGTGGTGAAAAACCTCTAACTACAAAACACTGCAGAAGGAAATCGCAGAGGATGTAAACAAATGGAAAAAATATATCATGCTCATGGATCTGCAGAATTAACATTCTTAAAATGTCTATACTACCCAGAGCAATTTATAGATTCAATGCAGTTACCATTAAAATACTAACATCATGTTTCAAAAATCTGTAAAAAATAATTCTATGCTTTGTATGGAATCGGAAAAGACCACATATAGCTAAAACAACCTTAACCAAAAAGAACAAATTGGGAGGCATCAATTTACCAGACTTCAAGCTATACTACAAGCCTATAGTAACCAAAGGAGCATGGTACTGGCACAAGAACAGAGCCATAGACCAATGGAACAGAATAGAGAACCCAGATATAAAACCATCATCATATTGCCATCTGATCTTTGACAAAACAGACAAAAACATACACTGAGGAAAAGAATCCCTATTCAATAAATGGGTCTGCGAAAATTGGGTAGCCATACGTAGAAGACTGAAACAGGATCCGCACCTCTCGCCACTTGCAAAAATTAATTCATGGTGGATAACAGACGTAAACCTAGGGCATGAAACTAGAAGCAAATGCTAGAAGAAAATGTTGGAAAAAAAATTTTTTTTTTTGAGACAGAGTCTCACTCTCTTGCCTGGGTTAAAGTGCCGTGGCATCAGCCTAGGTCACAGCAACCTCAAACTCCTGAGCTCAAGCGATCCTCCTGCCTCAGCCTCCCAAGTAGCTGGGACTACAGACATGCGCCACCGTGCCCAGCCAATGTTTTT